AGTAAAAACAACTCTTTATTTAGACAAAAGATAATAATTTTCAGTAGTAGTAGTATCTTAGAAGACCGTATCAAAGCTTGTACTAACTTGGTGCACTTCAAAAAACAATATAAAAATCAAATCTTACAGAAATACCTAGAAGATGAGATATATTGTAAACCACGATTATTAACTAAACACTTGCTTTTCTTTAACATTACCTTTCATAAACGATATATTTTGTGCCTTCTTTATCATTATTGTTAGTTTGTACGACCATAAACAAAAACAAAACTGGCATCTTTAAAAATGAAGATAAATAAGTGACTGTATTTCTATTCGAGGGTTTAGTATTTGGAACAATCTGAATGATGATTTTTAAAAAGTCTTAACACTATAGAAGCCTTTAAAAAGAGTATAAATCATCAATTTTTTGAAAGATATAGAGGTCTGGAATGAATTAATTATGCATTCAGTTTAGTTTGTTTAAATTTATTTTTTGTCTCTTATATACACAGTAAGTCATAAGTGAAATTGTAAATGATAACTTGCTGTTCATACGTTGCTTTCCGTCTTGGAATTCTGTCATTGCTGTTTAACAAGGTTTGGGATTATAAGTACGTTTCACTTCAGCCTAAACCCTTTTGGTCATGATCCATGGGGCTCTAGTCTATGTTTTGTTTTGTTTAGTTTTGTAGTGCTGCAAAATGACCAAATTAAAAATGAATACTACTAAAAAAAATCATTCTAAAGCTATTCAGGAAAGGTTAATTTCTGTCCTGTGAATGTGACTTTTTTTAGTACTGATACTTGCTCAAATGTCTAGTTTCAATACTAGATTTAGTACCAATTATCTAATTTTCAATACTTTCAACATCCCTACAGTGGAGAAGGCTGTAGCTGCTAGAGCTCCAAACATCGTCATTTTTATTCCTTTATTCATTCATTTTATTTGTTTGAGCAAGGTAAAACTAACTCAACAACAATAACAAAAAAAACATAAGGAAGGAAATGTACATGTATGTATTTGGGACCTGGTGCTCAAAAGGAGTAGGATGAAGTTTAAAAAATTAATGTCCAGTGTTGGGGAGTAACGGATTACATGTACCAGAGTTACGTAATCAGAGTACAAATTATGAGTAACTGTATTCAGTTACAGTTACTGCTTCAGTGAGTGGTAATTGGATTACAGTTACTTTGTTGAAATAAATGGATTACACAGAGGTATTTTCCTGTTTTCACTTGTTGTTTTTTTTTGTTTGTTTTTTGGTAATTCCACTCATTGCCGGACACTAAACCAAGTCTAAACCAGGTCTAAAACCAGGTCCAAACCAGGTCTAAAACCAGATCTAAACTAGGACTAATCAAAGACTAAACCAGGATTAAACCAGGTCCAAACCAGGTCTAAACCAGGTCTAAACCAGGTCCAAACCAGGTCCAAACCAGGTCTAAAACCAGATCTAAACTAGGACTAATCAAAGACTAAACCAGGATTAAACCAGGACTAAAACCAGGTCTAAACCAAGTCTAAAACCAGGTCTAAACCAGATCTAAACCAGGACTAAACCAAGACTAAACCAGGACTAAACCAGGACTAAAACCAGGTCTAAAATATGTCTCAAACAGAATTTAACAGGACTAAACCACGCTGGGCGGACGTGTCTCCTCCTCTTCTATCAATAATATTTTTAATTTGTTTAAGTAAAGTCTGGGCTTTTTATTGTTTTTTACATCTTATGTGAAGATGTCCGAGTCTTTGCTTCTCTACAGCAAATCAAGTAATCCAAAGTATTCAGATTACATTACTCACTTTAAGTAATTTAATGGATTCCGATACAAACTACATTTTGGGGTTTGTAATCTGTAATCTGTAGGGGAATACATTTTAAAAGTCACCTTCCCAACACTGATAATGTCCTACCCCAAATGTTTTCCATAATCAAATACACACACACACACACACACACACACATACATACATACATACATACATACATACTACATCGTTATTGTTATCGTTTATAATCGTACAAAATAAACAATAATGAGAATGAAAAATTTAAGGATTTTTGTGTTTGTTTATGGTCACACAAACTACTAATAGTGGTAACAACGGCACAAAAGTTTGTCATTTCTGAACATACAAAGTAAACAGAAATCAGAATGAAAAAGTAAGGATTTTGGTTTTCATTTATGGTCGTACAAACTAGTAATAATGATAATAACGGCACAAAAGTTTATCGTTTCTGATCATGCGACATAAACCGCAATGAGAATAAAAACATGTAAGGATTTTTTTTTTGTTTTCTTTCCTGGTCGTAGAAACTAGAAGACGTAGAAGACATGATCGTAACAAAATAAAAGGTAATGTTAAAGATCATTTTAGTGTAAGCCATAATGAGGGGACCTTTAAGTCACACAGACATGAAAACTAAAGTTGTTTCGCTACATACCAGGTTCCCAACTAGATTTCCCAGCGACAAATACAACAAAAACAATAACTCTGAGTATAAAACATATAAGAAATCTGCATAGCGTCCACATGCAACAGTCAGCAGCCTTCACACCGATGCCTTAATCTCCGCTGGAGCCTTCTCACCTTCCATGTTATTATTTTCATATATAGCTACGTGCTTCCCGTCCTGTCACTCTACTCTCTGAAACCGAAACTGGCATTTACCATCGCGGCACTTCTACCGCGCTACTTTGATGTCTTCTCCAAAGGGCAAACCTGTGTGCGTGCGTGCGCGTAGTGTGTGTGTGTGTGTAGTCTTACGCGTCTCTTCTCATTCATGTGTGGGTATTTGTTTGAAGTGTGTCCAGCCGTACGGGGGCTTGGAGGTGAATCGCCTAATTTCCCAATGGACTCAATTAGCTTTGTGATTGGCTGAGGGAAGGCCAGGTTGTGCACCGTCTTCTGAAGAGATAGGATACCTTTGAAAGTAAGAAAGGTGGAGAAGGAGAGAGAGAGAGCGAAGAGGAGAGAGAAGAGAAGAGGAGGAATAGTATATGAGCTGGGCACTGTGGTAATGGCGTTCTGTGCTATCTCTGCCCCTGTCAAGCTTTCTATAATGAGACCAGAGAACTTGTGTATATCCACTAGCAGGTGTTGCTCACTTCTGACTTCATTACGACCAATTAGAGTGAAGAAAATAGTAATTATACCTTGGTTTCTAGGTGATTAAATGGCAGGTTGGAGTTAAATTGCAGGCATAGGCTAACTTTAATCCCATGATCACTGAAGCCACCTGAAGTTTGAAGTCCCTTTTCAAACCGGTCTTAATGAAAGCGTCTGTACGGGATTTCTGGCTGCCTGTCAGAACAAAGTAGAGTTTTAGAAGAGATAGTTTTCACCCTTCTCCTACATCTCACCTTCTTGCTTTTCAAATGTGTTCGGGTTTTGTTCAATATTTGATCACACCGAGCGTTAGTGGGGCATAATAGCGACTGTATTTCATATCAGGTGTGGCGGTACATGAAAGTAGAGGTTATAGAAGCATGGAGTTCATTGATGTCATTCCAATACATCACAAGGGGTTTGATAGTTATCGTTTCTCTTTTAACTATCTGTCATTTGTAAACTAGTGCCCCAGTAGCATTTTAGAATAGGATATATACTAGACTTCACAATTGTATTTACTTACGATAAATTAAAAAAGCAGACTCCAGGTCAAATGTTTGGTTCAACATAGCAGCATAGGCTTTTTTTCAATCATAAAAACACCAAAATGAAAAGCTACTGGCTGCGTAAAGGGACAGTTCGACATTTTGGACAACAGTGCCTCATTTCTAGTGAGCCAGAGTGTTGGAGACGTGTGGAGACACTTTTTTAAATATTCCATCCAGTCGTTGTGTTTGCAGAGGTCGCTGGTGCTAGGCTAGCGCATGTCAATGGCCATAGTTAGCCTGCCGCTAAAAACAAATCTTATCCACTCCACAAAACACCTGCAGCAAATCTATTATTACACCAGACTGTTGATGTAAATGTCTGTGTTGATAGAATAATGTTTGAAATAAAACTAACCTTGCATTACATGAATCGTCACATGTTGAGGGACTATTTTCTCATATATTAGTTCGCCGCTGACAAGCTTTCAATCAGGAAGTACAACTATCTGCTGCTCAGACATAAATCCTCCAAATGCAAGGTTGGTTTTGCTTCTAAAATGATTCTATCAACACAGACATTCACATCGACAGTCTGGTTTAATAATAGATTTTCTTCTGTTGTTTTGTGGAGTGGGTAAGAACTGTTTTTAGTGGCAGGCTAACTATGGCCATTGACATGCACTAGCCTAGCACCATCGACCTCTGCAAATACAAGAACTGGATGGAATATTTTAAACAGTGCCTCCACACGTCTCCAACACTCTGGCTCACTAGGAAATGAGGTCCTATGTCTAGAATTCCAGACTGTCCCTTTAAGTGGAATTTCACTATAAAGAGGCAGGATCTATCAGTTCAGTTTCTATTGTTGAGCTGTTTTAGATCTGCATTGTGGGTTACAATGAACAAAATGTAAATAAACAATTAAAGATCTTAATAAATACTAAATACAGAAAAAATAATAAATAATAATAATATTGACTAAGGTGTGTTAGCTTGGCCTGGACAGAAGAAAAACATCTAGCTCTCACTCGGCTCATAATCCAACCATCCTTATTTTGCATTTAATTATTTGGAATACTTTGTCCCGGGTCCAAGAGGCTTTGGAAAATTTATATTTGGGATGTGATGCCCATGTGAAGCTTCTTGCCACGGGCCCCTAAAGCTCTGTCGACGGGCCTGCTTGTGACCACCAGATCAAAGCTGCTCCACCCGCCGTCTGAGCCTAGAGAACTAGTAAACCCATTGTATTTTTGAATATGGATTCGCCTATGCACTGCTCTGTATTTACTCGCCGCTCTGGATCACACGTACTGACCACATCGCCTTTTTTGCAACAATAAAAACACTCAAATGAAAATCCTCCACCTTCTGCTTCACTGACCATGCCCGCTCTCTCTCTCTCTCTGTTCCAGGTTGCCGGTCCTGGAGTCATCGGCCTCATCCGGAGACCTGTCCCGGCCTCACCACATTGTGTCCGTGGTGCCAAACCGTTACCCGCGCTGGTTCACCCTCAGCCACATCGAGTCACAGCAGTGTGAGCTGGCCTCCACCATGCTCACTGCCGCCAAAGGTATTCTGATCTGTTCTTTCTGTGTTTATCATAGTTCTCCTCAACATTACAAACAAAAGCAACATTACTCATAGTCTACATTTTCACCGGTGTTTATTTTATTTCATTTTGTCATAGGTTTAGATAACAGCAACTATTTTTACTGAATAAAGGTACTAAAGTTCAATCCCAGAGCATCAAACAAAACAATCAAACAGTCAACCAAGAAGCATATAACATAAAAACCATAGATCAAATATAAAAACTAACTTGATTAAATCTTGAGTGAAACTAAAAATAAAAAATAAAACCCTTGTCAAAATAATCACTGGTTTTCATTAGCCACTACACATGCATCCCGAATTTCGGACTTCCGGTCATCTCGCAATGCATACTGGGAAGGGTTCTTCAAAAAAGCCAGCATCAAACTGCCATGTTTGATTTCCCAGTGTGATGCGTCTATTGTCAAAACTGATCTATTTAAGTCTTTTGAACCATATCGCTGTTGTTTCTGGTTTTGATATTGTCATATTTTAGTTATGGGATCTGGAGATCATAATTGTGTGCTTGTTGGATTTCCTAACAGCGGAAAATGGGCTTCGGAAGCGAACTCCATAAATGCAAAAGGGAATCAGATCTGTGTGACTGCAAACCTCTGTTAAAACTGTTCCCCTTCCTAACAGAATTGAAAAATAGTGAAAGGCGAAGGCGGTGGACAGTACTGATACACAGGATGGAAGAAAAACGTAACCTTTGGCTGCTTAAGAAATCATCCCGAGTTTGCAGCGAATATTTTGTATGGAGCGCCAACAAAGCAAAATCCCATTTGTTAAGCGAGAGGTGCAGAAGACGAACAGGCCGAGCTGCACTTTCTTGTTCTTGTGTGTTTTACAGCAACATCACGTCTTGGTCTCTTTGCAGTGGAAGGTGTTTCTTGGTGAACAGTTGGTGCCTTTCGCTTTGGTGTTGACTTTTTAAATTTGTAACAAAGGTTGAGTGAGGGATCGGGATTTGCTTTGCTGGCGTTCCACATACAAAATATTTGCTGCAAACTCTGGATGATTTCTTAGGCAGCCAAAGGGTCCTTCCTGTGGATCAATCCTGCCCATCGCCTTCACCTTTCACTATTTTTCAATTCCGTTGGCAAGGGAAACAGTTTGAACTGATTCTCGTTTGCATTTATTTGTACATAGCATTTATTCGTATATAGTTCGCAAACTTTCAAAGCCCATTTCTCGAGCCGTTTTCCGCTGTTAGGACATCCAACAACCACAGAATTACGATGTCCGAATCCCATAACTAAAACATGACAATATCAGAACCAGAAACAAAAGCGGTATGGTTCAAAAGACTTGAAAAGACTGGCTTGACAATAGACACATCCCACTGGGAAATCAAACATGGCGGTTTGATGCTCACTTTTTCAGAGGACCCTTCCCAGTATGGATTGTGCAATGACCGGAAGTTCGGAATTTGGGATGCATGTATTATGGTTGCAATATATCACTGTGTAACTGGGAACCCCAAATCAACAACAAACTAAATATACTTGTTTACCCATAAAGAATAAATGAATCTTTTTTCAATTCACTCTGTTTTGTCACCTCACTTAACACAACTGTTGATTTAACCAACAGAAAGTTAGAAAATCAAACAGTGAAACATCATTAGTCAACAGGAGGAAACACACAACACACATGGAAAACTGTCCCAGAGCGCCCCCTGTCTTTAGGGGGAAAAAAAAGAAACCTCAAGGAGAACGACAGTGAAGGAGCGTAACTATACCACTAAATGTAAAATGTGACCAGTGTGAAATATCCAGATTTTAAGATTTATTCCAGTTACATAAAAAATAAATGGCCAGAATGTCCAGTGAGAGTACTGTGTCAATGGCCAAAATGGAAACGTACCAGCGTTTGGTCTGTTGGCTACTGTTCATGTCGAGGCCTGAATGAACATAAACAAATGTGATTTTAGTACAAGCCAGATGGTCTCCTGCCTACTCACTGTATGTTAGTACTGTGCAGGAAAATATACAAATGGGACAAGTGTGGTCAAAAGTATTCAGTATCAGAATCAAAATCAGAATGCGAAAACTAGTATTGAAACTAGAAACTCATATGAGCAAATCGATAGTCAGTACTAAAAGGTCACATTCGTAGGACAGGGTATTAAATGTTTCTAGCTTCCTGGAAACTAAACTAGACCAGGTTAGAGGTCAGATCTGTGGAGAGGCGCCCCCGCTCACAGTCAGAATGCATGTTTTTCTAGGTTTGTTGAGCAATAAAACCACCTGTACTTGAAAAAATGTACGGTAGAACTCTTAATATCATACTACTTACTCCTTAGTATTGAAATTGAAATGTTAGTATCATGACAGCTCTACAAGTGAGTCTTCTGTAGTTGCTTTGACAGATCTGTACCGTGTTCCTCTTCTCAGGTGACAGTCGCAGGCTGGAAACGGTCCTGGAGTCCATCCAGAAGAACATCCATTCCTCGTCTCATATTTTCAAACTGGCTCAAGACGCGTTCAAGATCGCCACTCTGATGGACAGTCTGCCTGATATCACACTGCTCAAGGTGTCCCTGGAGCTGGGGCTGCAGGTGTGTACGCTTATACAGAAACTAATGCACAGGAAGTAACTCTAAATATATTGGCCAAGAGTATTTTTTTTGTATATTGTAGTGTTTTGGTGAAAGGAAACACGCCAAATTTCTACTTGTTGCTTATTTTCTGAACACAAGTAGTACTGAAGGCTGTAACTCACACCAGCTGTCTCAAAGCTGCAGAGCCGGTCTTCTGATTGATCAGTAGTTGACAAATGGAGCCTTCACATAAATATACACCAGTCAAAAGTTTGGACACACCTTATTATTATTTGCATTGTAGATTGTCACTGAAGGCATCACAACTATGAATGAACACAAGTGGAATGTAGTAAACAAAACAATAAACCCAAAATAATACAAAATTAAAAATAGTCACCCTTTGTTTTGAACCCTGCTTTGCACTTTTGGCATTTCTTGACCCTGACCTGGCACAGCTGTGAAGTTCCTTTGCTGCATAATTCCATATATCTTGTATCGTATATTTGATGTCTTCTGTATGTGTGTAAAATGTAGAAAATAGTAAAAGTAAAAAGCAAAACTAAACAAAAAAAAACACTGAATGAGAGGGTGTGTCCAAACTGTTTAAATCTAGTTTAAATCTGATGAAGTCCTTGTTTAAACCAAGTCTAAACAAGTCAGAGTTCATGTGTGCTTTGTATAAAATGTATTTCTTCTGATTGTAATCTCCTGTGCGCCCCCTGTAGGTGATGAGAATAACTCTGTCCACATTGAACTGGAGGAGAAGAGAGATGGTGCGCTGGTTAGTCACGTGTGCCACAGAAGTCGGTGAGTGTCTGAGTCTAAATTAGTTTAGTTTGTTTTCTTCATCTCGATGCTAACAGTCTTGTGTGTGCAGGTGTGTACGCCCTGGACAGCATCATGCAGAGCTGGTTCACCCTCTTCACCCCGACCGAAGCCACCAGTATCGTGGCCACCACCGTCATGTCCAACAGCACCATCGTCCGACTGCATCTGGACTGTCACCAGCAGGAGAACCTGGCCTCCTCCGCCCGCACCCTGGCCCTGCAGTGTGCCATGAAGGACCCTCAGAACTGCGCCCTCTCCGCCCTCACGCTCTGTGAAAAGGACCACATTGCCTTCGAGACAGCCTATCAGATTGTACTAGACGCAGCAGCCACCGGGATGAGCTACACTCAGCTGTTCACCATCGCTCGCTACATGGAGCATCGCGGGTATCCTATGAGAGCGTACAAGCTGGCTACTTTAGCTATGGCGCACCTCAACCTCAGTTACAACCAGGACACCCACCCGGCCATCAACGACGTGCTCTGGGCCTGCGCACTCAGCCACTCGCTCGGGAAGAATGAGCTGGCCGCTGTCATCCCCCTGGTGGTCAAGAGCGTGAAGTGCGCCACCGTGCTGTCGGACATTTTGCGGCGGTGCACGCTGACCACTCCGGGGATGGTGTCGGCGCTGCACAGCCGCAGGAACTCTGGGAAGCTCATGTCCCTGGACAAAGCTCCGCTCAGGCAGCTGCTGGACGCCACCATCGGAGCCTACATCAACACCACACACTCACGGCTCACGCACATCAGCCCCAGACACTACAGCGAGTTCATCGAGTTCTTAGGAAAGGCCCGCGAGACCTTTATGATGGCTCATGACGGACACATTCAGTTCACACAGTTCATAGACAACCTTAAACAGATCTACAAGGGCAAAAAGAAACTGATGATGCTGGTGAGGGAGAGGTTTGGCTGAGGGCGAGCCAGGGGCACAGGCCCCTCCCACTCTAGGACTTTTCTATTCACTTGCCTTTTGAACTTCTTTTGAACTGAAACTGATCCGTGAACAGAGGGATGTGACTTGTAGAATGAAGCAAAAAGAGAAAAGAAGACAAAAAAATCAGAGCCACCTGCGGTATTATTGTTCTTGCTGTTGTTATTGTTATAAACATTATTACTATTATTATTATTAATAATAATATTACTACTATGTGTACAGAAGTGTTTTTATTTTTCAGAAGAGAGGAAATTTGTCACGTTGTGAATGTTGTGTGTATTTCTCTACATGTGTGTGAGAGGAACACGAAAAGTGAAATGGCTTTTTTTTTAAACTTTAGGTTCTTTTATTTTTATGATTTGAAACATATTTTTTCCCCTTTTCAGTGTATTTTGAGTTAAATGTGTCCAGTGGCTGAAGCCCCTCTACAAAAGCGCTCATGTAAGAAAAGAAACAAGTACAAAATGTCTCGGCTTCCTCAAAGAGAAACAAAGGCTTTAAACCACACAGCACCTCCCTCTGCCCGGCACGGCCTGGCCTGGTTCAGCCTGGTTCTGCCCAAGTCTGTCTGGTTCTGCCCGGGTCAGTGTGGGTCAGCACTGACAGAAATCATAGGACTTCACAGTCGTATCAGCAGCACTTATTCGTTTCTCTGGTCCCAGACATTAGCTTCATCACAAACATGCTCTTAGCAAACTCATGTTGTTGTTGGATCGACCCCACTCCACAGAGACAGAAACACGTACTATATACAGTACACAGTACACAGTACACAGTACACAGTACACAGTATAGTACAGAGTAGTATTACACACCTGGTGTCATGCAGTTAAACTATGGCCAAATTGGACCAGATCCACATGTGATTCTGAACAGAGGACAAAGGACTACCTCAGAATACGGTATTAAATACTCCAGTTTGTATCATCACATCTGGGCTGTGAGCGTGAACAGTGTTACATGTAACAGGCTTTTCAATGGTGACATTAGAGTTTGGAGAATAGTTTCATCACTGCCATAAACCAGAGGACATACAACCAGTGCAAAGATGCCAGAGAATTGGTAGAAAACACATAATACAAAACTAAACTATATGATAAATCTGAGTCTTAGTCTAGAGAAGTAGTCTAAACATCTGTGTGTGCACAGATCTGGAGATTTAGGCCAATTCCTGCCATCACAGTTAGCGAGAATGCTAACATGCTGCTAGCTTTGAAGGTCTCGTAGCGTGTTTTTTTAAAGACATCCTCTGATTTTGTTTGTGCCAGAACATAATTCATGCATCAAAATGTGGCTAGCTTTGGCCGCTCTGTGCGCTTCCTGGCTTTTCTCACACAAGCTCCAGTTTAATGTTGTTTTATCTGTGATCACTGCCCATGCCACAACATAACGGTACTTCATTTCACCACTGGCATCACAACAAACTGCATATTTCTCCTGCTTTCTTCCTCTGAAATGGCCAGTGTTGTTCCCTCTTTGCATGTGAATTGTTAGAAATTAGGCTTTCTACTGTTATAGTTCATTGTGTGGAAACTTCGGTAATTGTCAACCAGAATGTTCTCAGGGATTTCTCTACACAGGAATTAAAAATGGCGGAACAAATGAATTACAAACTTGGAGAAAAAAAGACTAAAACACAACACAACATGAGCGAGCATTTAATGTACTCTGTAAATATGCCATAGTATATGTCTGACGATGGAGGATCTGAAAGTATATGTTAACTAATTTATACAGAGTATTCTATGTAATGTGAAATACTTGAAGCCGCTGTAGTTTGGTCTGTCGCGCTTTTGTTTTCTATTTTTGTCTCGTTTTATTTCTCTCACTTAAAGATACACTATGTAACATTTCTGGTAGTGGGTCCTCCAACATGACGATATTATTGCTTTGCCTTGAATGCTCCACAGTATAGCATTAAGCGCCTCAATCTCCATGGAGACGAGCGGGCAATTCCATCACGTCGACTGGTTTACAAGGTATTGTCGAGCAATTAATTCACCTTTAATCGAATAAACGCGACACGTATACGCTTAAAGCAATACTGTGGGACATTCCAGACGACATCTCCATGGAGACAAGCAGTTGGCGGGTCCATTCACCAGTGAAATTACACAGTGCGACTTTAAAACGACATATCAAAAGGACAAGTTGATGGCTTTTCTATAGCCTACACTTCATTCGAGAGATACTGGATTGATTTAGTTTCAAATTTATAAAAAAAAAAATGTTACTCACTACTGACTAGAAGTTGGACAAATATAGGCCTACAATGTGTTTATGTGATTTAAATATGCATGCCTGATTGTTAAGGTAAAATACGATGATATTTTCAACTAATTTGGATTTAATCTGCCAAACAGTGAATGTACGTTGAGATTACTGTAATATTTAACAGTAGTACGAGAAACCAAGTTACCCAGTTTTACGCTAATACCATGAACCTGTCTTTTCCTCTGTACTTGCCTTTAAAGGTGCATTGTGTAACTTTTCTGGTGGGATTTTTGTCTGGTCAGATGCTTTTTTTCTCCATGGCGACGTTATTGTTTCGTCTGGAATGTTTCACAGTACGGAATTAAAGTTTTCGAGCTTCACGGAGACGAAACCAGACCAAGTTACGGGTCAGATCTGTGGAGGATGACTGTTTTCGAGCTATAAAACCACCTGCAATTGAGTAAATGTAAGGTAGAGCTGTTTAATGTCATACTGTGGAACATTCCAGGCAGAGCAATGGCATAAAAAGGTAAAAAGGTGACCCCAACCAAAAAGTTCCACGGTGCAGCTTTAAACCCGCTCTTCTTTTTGTGCATATTTTTGTCTCGGTTGTATTGTTTCCTGAGATGGTAGCAGCCTTTTCTCTTGCCTTGTCTTAACGCTTTAACGTAACCAAACAGGAGATCTAACCTAACAACCAAACGCGTGGAGGAGGTGAGAGGCGACCCTCGTGGTCTCAGCTTTAGTGTCCTTAATTAGTAAAGTGAATGGCTGTGTCTGTAACGAAGCAATCCCTCACGTGTGTTTGGTGAAACGTCCAGTGTCTCTTCTTGTCTCCTCAGATTTCCTCTTTCTAGCTGTTCTTTTCTGTTCGTGTAGGAATCTTCTGCTCATTTTATTTATTACAATGACCCATGTATACATGCTTATGAAATTAAGATTTGATACACCGATATCAATTTATTTATGTAACTAAATCACTGTTTTATAATCTTGTTAATGAGTCAATAATTGATTTTTTTGTTTTGTTTTTGTTTAAATAAAACTTAGTTTTTTTGAAATGTAAATGTGTCAAAGGTTGTGTTTGTCTTGCATTTTCATTCTTTTGGATTTCAGGTTCTATTATAGGATGCTCAAACTGTTTTACCGAGACACTAACTGAGACTAAAACTAATTTTGAAACTAGAAACTCATTTGAACAGGTATCGTGCCTATGTGTCCACAGCCTTATGTTCCCTCATTTCTAAGGCTACGTTCAGACTGCAGCCTGAAGTGGCCCAAATCCGATTTTTTGGCCTCTATGTGACCTGTACTGATCTTTTAATGACAGTCTGATCACAGATCCGATTTTTTCAAATGCGACTCAGGACACTTGGATATGTGGTCCTGAAACCGATACATATCTGATCTTTTGACATGCGACTTCGGTGTGAACGGCCAAAGCGCATTCATCCGACCTACACGTTATCAACAAGCCACAAAAGTCACTATTCTGCGCTGAAGAAGGCGAAAATTGTTAATGAACTCGAAGCACATCACCACTCACCACTCTTGGCTACGTCTCCACATCCACACGTTCCTTTCAACGGACGTCGCTGCCGCTGCCCCACAAAACACCACGGCCAAAAACCTCGTCCTTCTCCTTCTCAATCTCCTCCTTAAAACAAGTAAGTTGTTCATGTTCTGGCTCCGATACGAGAGGAACTTTAAAATCTCCAGGTGCTCAATGCTCGTGTCCATGTTTGGACAACTTCCGTAAACACAGAGCACGCTCGCTGCGGTTGACGTCGTCGTGTCTCCAGTGCACATGTGGGACACTTTCGAGCCGTTTAACGTTCACACAGGGGATCGAATACAAGTCGCATTAAATTGGAAATGTGAACGACCTCGAAAAAACATCGGATTTCACAAAAAAATCTGAATTGAGCATTAAGCCCTGCTGTCTGAACGTAGACATAGTTTTTTTTGTTTTTTACCTCCGCCAAGGAGGTTATGTTTTTGCCGGCGTTTGTCTGTTTGTCTGTTTGTCTGTTTGTTGTTTGTTTGTTTGTTTGTTTGTTTGTCTGTTTGTTTGTTTGTCTGTTAGCAACATAACTCAAAAAGTTATGGACCGATTTTGATGAAATTTTCAGGATTTGTTGGAAATGTGAAAAAGAAGAACTGATTTCATTTTGGGGGTGATCCGGAAGAAATCCTGGATTCTGGATCACTTTGAAATTTTAGTTAACATTGTGGTAAATGGGGCCAAAAATTTTGTTTCTCAATATCTCGGTTAATTATTGACCAAACCCCATGAAATTTGACTCAGGGATGGACAATGGGATCCTCTTTCATATTCCAAAGGCTGATCCGGATCTGATCCAGAAGACTGATTTTATCGCAATTTATATAAAAAATTGGGGTAGTCCTTGGCGGAGGTCTGCGCTCTCTAGGAGGAGTGCTTTTCTAGTTTTTTCTTCTTCTTCATTACAAAATTAGACCCTATGTTCCCACATTTCATTTATCATCAATTTGCATCATTTTTTTTTAATTTCCATTTCTCCCAATTTGGTCGTCAATTACACCCAGCCTATTCTCCAGCTACAGATGTGATGTAGAGGTCATGCTGCAAAGGATCCTAGGTTGAAATTACTCTGAATCATCCCTTTAAATGAGGTATAAAAATAAAAACGACTTGACTTAGAGTTTAATTTTGAGAAAAATCTTAGAAATTTAGTTTAGTTTATTTATTTAACGAGACAGGGACAGTGCACAATATACAGTCAAGCCCAAAATTATTCATACCCTCGTTCACAAACCAACTGCAAAGACCTGCTGTTTTTCACCTGTTCAGTTGCTTAAAACAGCTCTTCCCAATGAATCAGGGTAATTAAGAAGTTTTAGAAGAGCTTGTGCTGTTTGGAATGGTATCAAACTTTGGATTTTTCCATAGACTCTGACAGTTTACAAAGGGTTTGAATAATTTTGGACACGTCACTTTTTGTTCAAATGTAAATAAAAGCTGAGATTTAGTTTTTTTTTGTTTTGTTTTTCCACAATGATGCCTCTTGTACGTCGTCTTATTATCTTCTGGGAGACGCCTATATCATTTCCAATCAAGAAAAAACTTGCTGGTTGAATAAAAGGAACTTTAAGTCAAAATTTGTCAGGAGTATGAATAATTTTGGGCATTAACCTTAAGTTCACCCAATGAGTTAAACCCTACTCTGTCAAATTTTGATGAAACTTAGTATATAGGTAAACCAGAAAACCAGAAAAGCCAACATTTCCAATTTTAGTTTGATCGGACCAATGATTTTTAAGATATCGCAATTTAATTTTTTCACTTTTTTTGTGGTTGCCAAATTTCAGATTGCATTTACTCAGCAACTACTGGTCCGATATCAAAAACCAAGGTATCTCTAGATAGGGGAGATCATAAGGAATCCAAATCTTGAGACCTTTTGACCTATAGTTCGACCTTGAAATTGACAATAAGGGACACACCCGACCTCAATGACACCAACAGAAAAAATTTGCTCTATATGTCTACTGCAACATATAAAAAATCTGGAGGGGTTTTCTTTTTATTTACACACAAATTTACCTAGAAGTTGATTTACCCCCATCTTAAGACATGCCAAATACCCAAATATATGCCAGATTTGGGTTCCTTATGATGTCCCCTTTCCAGAGATACCTTGGTTTTTGATATCGGATCAGTAGTTGCTGAATAAATACAATTTGAAATTTGGCAAAAAAAAATATAATGGCAATATCTCAGCAACCATTACTCCTATCATGCTAAAATTTGAGATTTTTTTTGGTTATGACTTAACCATACACCAATTTTCTGTGCAATTGGACCATGTGAGTGTTCAAATTGCAATTTTTTGGGGTGAATTGAGGTGGAATTACCCTTAACAGAAGAGATGCATTGTACCAGGTTGTAGCACCAGTGCGAATTTCCACCTGTCGTCCCTGGGCAGGTTCATTTATTGATTGTATTTTTAATTGACCTTAGTTATCAGGTATCATCTATTCTTCCTGGAGACCTATGTAGCATGTTTTGGTAATGTTTAAGAAAAATCTTAGAAATTCGGGAAAATAGGGTTGAGGGAGCATAGGTCTGACCCCGGGATGGATACTGAAGGAGTCACCTAAAAAGGACAAACCTGGACTTTTCCTTGAATAGCTGGTCTAGATCCAAACTAGTGGTTATGGTCATATTTAAGGCTATGTTTATATGATGACGGTTTGAACAGAAGACGCAAAAGTGGCGTTTAGACAGCTGTTTTCGAGAGGAAATCTGCGCGCATACGGTGACGAAAAAGTGTGTGGAATTCATTTGGATATGCCAGGCCTCGAGGTGGTGACTCTAGGTGGCGATGTATGTGACGTAAACGCATCCCGTGAGCAGATCTGACCAGTTTGTTTTGCGTCTTACGGCAGTGTAGATGGAAATGCTACGGCGGAGTGTATTCAACTTTTCCACTCTGGAGGGTGGTTTCAGATTCTTGCAATTTTAAGCCCCAAAAAAGTCATCACCGTCTAAATGAAAAGGCACTTCCAGTAAAATATTTTGTAGTTTTTACCCGCAAGTGTTCTCGTGTAAACAGGCCCTAAGAGAACACTATTTTGTGTTTAAAACATAATGCAAGTCTGTAAAAACTGCATAGTTATTACAGTAATATTTCTAAGTGTGTATAACAAACTTTAACATTTCCATTTAAGGTAGAGAAGGTTTCGTCGTTGGTCATGGGGACACAGAACGAACACATCCTGCTATAAAGTGGTATTATAAACATATTTTGAAACTCAGATGTCATTTCTCTATAGTTAAAATAGCTGTAATTTACTTTGACAGACACTTGCGTCTTAGTTTTAAATTTTGTTCATTTTAAATCGCAAAACTGAAAAGAATCTGGCTTGTTGACTTCTAGTTCAAACCTGTGGAGTTAATTTACACCTACTCATTTACGGTATGTTCTTTTCCATTATTTGAACTCCTTTTTTGCAGTCTATAATAGCTGTATATTGAATTCCTAAAAAAATAATCGCAATATAAAGTAATTTTCAATACATAGGCCGACACATAACCTTATTTTAGCTGACATACAAACATGGATGCATCTAACCAGGCTCTCCGGTCTGAAGTCTACAGTCTCCCTGCGCTCTCATCACTGTCTGAAAACCTGTCAGCTACATTAGAAGTAGTGAGTCTGGGCTGGTCTGCATATGGTCCGTCTCTCAGTCCTCCTCAGATCAGGCTCTCAGTCAGAGCACAGAGAGACAGAGGGATCAGTCTGTTTGGCAGCAGCTTTCCGCACTGTCGTCTCCGCACTCACACCAACAATATCAAACATTTCTATTGATATTCCCCTGGCCTTTGGAGCTACTGTCAGACCAGACCTGCCCCGTCACTGCGCAGAAGCTGTTCATTTACAGAGCCCATATTACACTGTACTGTTGTGTTGTAATGTTGTTTCCTCATCAAATTTGTCTTGGGACAGGGGTAACATGCTTTATCAAAAAAACAGGACACCATAACACAAAGCAGCACATAAACAAACACCATAAAACAAAGTAAATATGAGGCCAAGTATGACCACGAGTGATGCACCAACAGGACCCTTAAATTATTCTTAAGAGGCAAGCCCTCTGCATTCTTCTGTTCTATTAATTATTGCACATTCCTTAAGCCTATGTGCAGTTTTGATTGCACATTCCCTAAGCCTATGTGCAGTTTTAATTATTGCACATTCCCTAAGCCTATGTGCAGTTTTGATTGCACATTCCCTAAGCCTATGTGCAGTTTTAATTATTGCACATTCCCTAAGCCTATGTGCAGTTTTAATTGCACATTCCCTAAGCCTATGTGCAGTTTTGATTGCACATTCCCTAAGCCTTTTATAATTATTTTTTTAACTGCTAGTGGCAGTGTGTTTTGTTTCATTCACACATGTTTAACTCACAAACCCTGAACATTTAGGCTCCTCAAACGGAAAATTCTGTTCCACCTCATGATGTCATGTGGTAATGCAAGAGCACCACTGTGTTTTTGAGGCAGTAACATCATTCTAACATG